AAAGGGATAGAGAGTTAGAAACATCGATGAGAGAGAAACATTGATCAGTTGCCTCCTGTACGTCCCCTACTGGGGATGTGCCCACAACCAAGGTACATGCTCTTGACTGGAATCGAACCTGGGACCCTTCAGTTCGCAGGCCGACGCTCTATCCACCGAGCCAAACCGGTTAGGGAGAAACATCAATTTGTTATTCCACTTATTTATGCATTCATTGGTTGCTTCTTTTTTAAAAATGTGTCTCTATTGATTTTTTAGCGAGAGAGAGAGGAGGGGAGAGAAAGAGAAACATCTATGTGAGAGAGAAACACCGATAGGTTGCCATTGGTTGCCTCCCATATGCACCCGGACCAGAGACCGAACCCTGCAACCTGGGCGTGTGCCCTGACTGGTATCAGGACTGGCAAACTACTAGTGTATGGAACAACACTCAACCAACTGAGCCACACCTGCCAGGCCATTTGGTGGCTCCTTATATGTGCCCTGAGGATATGCCCTGACGGGATCAAACCCACAACCTGGCCTATCAGGAGGAGGTTGTAATCAACTAAGCTACCTGGCCAGGGCTTCTTGCTAAATGTTAAAATGTAGTATTTTGTAGATACAGTAAACAGGATGAGCTGACAGGAACTCAACCTGATGAAAGTAGCCAATTGCAAAGAAGAAATCAACATGTAATATATATAAGCCATGGCTAAGCCTTCCTTCCGGGAGGCAGAGATTTGGATATGAATCTGAGACAGGCTGAGCCTCTCTTAAAAACTCTTCAGTTATTTCTTAAAGCCTCTTCTAGATAAGTTTAAAGTTTCTCTTCAGGCATTCCCCAAAGAGCTCTGTTCTGTGCACCTGGAAAGTAAAGAGTTCCGCTCTGCACTGCACAGGTGTATACCAGCTGCTGGAACCTGAAACGTAAAGAATTCTACTATGCACCTGTGTGAGGAACCTAGCCCTATATAAGCCAGACCCGCAGTAGCAGTTTGGGAGCTATGCTGTTATTAGTTGCATTAAGCCCCCTCCCTTCTCCTTTCCCTCCACCTTGATTTCAGTAAACTTCTAATTTTTTTAATATGTTTTTATTGGTTTTAGAGAGAGAAGAAGGGAGAGGGAGAGAGAGGAAAAAACCCACATTGATGATAGAGAAATATCAATGGGCTGCCTCCTGCATGCCCCCTATCAGGGATCGAGTCCGAAACCCACAACCCAGGCATGTGCCCTGACTGGGAATCAAACTGGCAACCTTTTGTGCATGGGAGCACCAAACTGAGTCACCTCTAATTTTGAATCTGTTTAGCCTCCTCTCCTGATTTCTGTCTTGGGGGATGGGTGCAAGAACCTCTTTGTCATTGACAAATTCCCTGTCTCCCTTACGCACTGCAAGTAAATAAAACTCCTTGCAACAACCACCTCTCATTTTCAAATACAGCATCTTAAACAGTGAAGCCCTTGAGTTCAATAACACAAATGTTTTCTAGAATAGCTACCCAGAAGTGTAATTGTTGGGTCAATGAGAATGCCCATTCTAAACGTTAACAGTTCCTGCCAAATTGTTTCTCCTTCCCCACGTGAAGAAAAAAGAAGCTACCATAACAAGCCTGACAACTTCAATAACTGAAAGTCACCACACAGGTTGTTTTGACCATCAAAACATTCCTAACTTGCCTGACCAGTGTGGCTCAGTGGCTGAGCATTGCATGAACCAGGAGGTCATGGTTGGATTCCTGGTCAGGGCTCATACCTAGGTTGGGTTGCGGGCTCAATCCCCAGTGAGGGGTGTGCAGGAGGCAGCCGATCAATGATTCTTTCTCATCATTGATGTTTCTATCCCCTCTCTTCTTACTTCCTCTCTCTGAAATAAATAAAAACACATTTAAAAAAAAAACCACCCAGAAACCCACATTTCTAATTGAGTGGGTTATGGTAGGAAGTCATGTCCTAAGTATATAGGATAAATTAATCTCTACCTTGAACAAGCCCTGTCCATTGTTTATGTGCATCTAGAATAATATATTTAAAATGTGAGAATGATCTCTTCTCCAGAAGGGTAAAGATAAACATCCCAGTGCAGGGGGGGAAGACAACCCCAACATTCCTCATTGTTCTCTTTCAACTGCATCTCTTTCAACTTCTATAAACTATGTTAAAGCTAACTATCCTGCATCCATCAATGTAAAAGTAACATCTCTCCATTTTATTTTTTACTCAATCCTAGAGATTTTCCTGCTTTACTTTCTCCCGCGCTTTAATCGTCCACCAATGGATTTCATGTAACCTTTCTTAGGTCTTCTCCTTGGTTCTAATCCTATCCTATATAATAAAATCCTAATATATGCTCACTGCTTAATCATCACTTGTACTTTTTCATTTCATTTTTCCAGTTTCCTTGCATTATTATAGTGTCACTGGATTCTGAGAGCTTGTTTATGACTAAAGATGTTAATAATTTCTCATGCATTGCAAATGAAATACCATGTTTTTTGTTACTATTTCACTCTGGTATTTTACTTTTTGGTTGTATCAAACTTGTGTATTAAATATAATCATATTCTGTTTAAAAAAAAATAAAACCCTAATATGCAAATCGACCAAACGGCAGAACGACCAGTCGCTATGACACACACTGACCACCAGGGGGTAGATGCTCAACACAGGAGCTGCCCCCTGGTGGTCAGTGAGCTCCCATCGTGGGAGTGCTGCTCAGCCAGAAGCCGGGCTCATGGCAAGTGCAGGGGCTGTGGCGGGAGCATCTCCCGCCTCCAGCCTGCCTGCTTACACCACAGGTGGACATGCCCCGAGGGGTCCTGGACTATGAGAGGGTCCAGGCCAGGCTGAGGGACCCCCACCCCCACCCTCAGTGCACAAATGTTGTGCACCGCACCTCTAGTGTATAAATAAAGTGCATAATTGCTATACCCTGGAGAATTATCTCTGTCCTTTGAAATTTTGCTTCCAGGACTAACCCCTACCAGTGATGGCGAACCTTTTGAGCTCGGCGTGTCAGCATTTTGAAAAACCCTAACTGAACTCTGGTGCCGTGTCACATATAGAAATTTTTTGATATTTGCAACCATAGTAAAACAAAGACATATTTTTGATATTTATTTTATATATTTAAATGCCATTTAACAAAGAAAAATCAACCAAAAAAATGAGTTCGCGTGTCACCTCTGACACGCGTGTCATAGGTTCGCCATCACCTAATCTTTGGCTCTAATAAACTATTTTAAACTTTTCTTTAGGTTTGGAGTTTCTTTTGTGGACACCCAATAACTCTAAAACTGCAAACTTCCCACACCTTTGCCAACACTGGACGTTACCAGCCAGTCATTTAATCTGCAGCCAACCCCATGGTTAAGGAAATGACTGGAAGCCAGTGTGGCTGGAACAGAAAGGACAGGTGGAGCCTAGCGCAAGATGAGCCTGCAGAGGTGGTGACATCGGGCAAGAAGAGCGCGTGGCCCGGAGGAGGCCTCATAAACACCCGCTCTCATTGGTGCTCGCGTTCACTCACAAACACCCCACTTCCTGGGCAGACCTGGGTGCCCAGAGAGGAGCCGCGCGCCCGCCGCAGAGGCGTGTCCTCCGCAGGCCCCGCCCCCGCTGCGTGCGCACGTCGGGCCGCCCTCGCGCTCGCCCGCTCGCTAGACTGTTCCTGACAGACGCGCGGAGGCTGCTGCTACTGTCGGACGGAAGGACGTGCGTCCGGCCAAGTGGAGCCGAGGCTGGTGAGTGGCCCGCACCCTTCCGGACTTCTCCCCGGGTCCTCGGCGGGCTTTGGCCGGCGCTGCTTTTCGGGAGCTGGGTTCCGCCAGCCGCGGCCCGCCGTGTCCCCAGCGCAGGCCTGAGGAAGATCCGGTGGGGACGGCAGTAGCGGGGTGAGCGGGGAGGTGGCTGGGCGCGGGGGCGCCCCGCTTCGTAGACGACGTTTCCGAGGGCCGAGTTGGCGCTGGGCCCTCCCTCCTGGCGTCGCGAGGGCGCTGGGTGAGGTGACCCCGGGGTCGCCGCTGGTGGACTTGGCGTTTCCGGTGGGGGTTGCAGCCCCTGACCTCCCACCCGCACGTCCTTCCACCTTGGGCCCGCGAGGACCCGGACCTCCCCCCGCGTCGGAGGTGGGTGCCCGGAGATGGTTGCCCGGCGTGCCGGCTTATCTCGGGCCATGGCTCTGCCCTTCCTCCATGTGACTCACCTTAGAGCGAAGGGCCCTTTGAGTCACTGTTATGACTTCGTGAGTGACCGCGGCCGCCCTGGCGCAGAGCACCAGCTTGGGAGGGACCAGTGCCTGGGGCAGCCGGTTAATTTGGGCAGGGAGTTTACCTGTCACCTCGGGAAGCACAGCGCTCTCCATGCAGTAATTGCCCCACAAAGCGCTGCCAGGACCGCCTTGCACGGTCTTTGCACCGGGCCGGCCTGTCTGGCCATTTACATTGGTCTGATGAACCGGTTTTTGTGGCCTGTGGCTGTCATCCTGATTGTGTTATGGTTATGGTTCTATGAGCCAGGAAATAAACATCGTCTAGTTCAGGAAGCCCTGTCATTCTCCGCCCCTTCCGCAACCCTATGAGTTGATAGTTTTCCTACTTCTGAATGGGGTTAGTGATGAGACGGCGGTGAAGGAATTGACCTGCCTCCCACAACCAAGACGGTGGCACATGGTCGGCTGCCTCCAGATCCCATGCTCTTTCCTAAACAAAGTCATAGAGATTGGAAATGGGTTATTTAAACTGTTTCCCCCACCCCTTAAACCGTCCTCCCAAATAGAAGGAAACAGGAACTTACTGGTTTTGTGTGTTTGAGTTTCTGATAGTGGCGTTAACCAGTGTGTTTTGATTTAACTCCCATATTAAAATTTTTTAGTTTTTCTTCTGTGAGGAGAGGGATAAGGAATACACATTAGTAAATCTGTGCTTCATTCTTTAGTTTTTTTTTCAAGAAACCTCACAAGACAAAACATCACAAGCTGACCAGGAGCTCATAGTTCAATTGGGCATTTACAAGTTTACTTAGTGAAATTGGAAAAAGTTCTCAAATACAGTGCTCAAGCCAGAACGTTGGGTGAGGGTGTGGAAATTTGAGGGGCCTTGCAAACACAGTCTCATTGAGTGACCTCATCTAACTGGGGATTTGAAGAGGAAACTGTGATTATCCCATTGTCTGACTTGATTTGCTTTTTACCTTTGCTTGGGCCAATAAAGTGAGATGCTAGGAGTCCTAGAGTCCGGAGTTTGAGCTACTCTAGAAATGCCAATGTCAATGAAAAGATGAGTTACAGAAAGTAAAGTATTCATTGCATTTAGCTCACCCCTCATTAGAAAGCAAAACTGGACAGCTGGGGCCTTTGGGCTACCTTGATTCTTTTTGGTTTTCTTTTAAAAGCTGACTCTTTTCAGAGTTCCAGTTGGGCTCTGATCAGGATTGTACCAAAAACTGGAATATCACTCCTCCAGGAGGAAGATATTTTTGAAAATTGCAGTTGTATACTTCAATGTACAACTTTAAAATTTAGCTTGAAACTCCTTGGAGAGAAAAGAGGTGAAAAACTATAAATTACCTCCTGGTACATTATTGGCCATAGTTAACCAAAAAGTTATAAATAGACATTTAATGCAGTAATTTTCAACCCATGTGCTGCAAGAGGCACACTGGTGTGCCGCAAGAATTTTTAAAACATGCAATTCCAGACTATTTAGTCAGGGGCACTGATCTCTTTTCCCTTTGATTGTCAAATTTAAAAATAACAGTAGCCAACACAACAATAACCATCTGGTGTGAATGAATCAAAATTATACTTATTTTTTTTGTCAGATCAGCAAAGAAAATTTTTTTTGGTATTTTAGTAATTAGTTTATGTGTGCTATGAGATGAAAAAGGTTGAAAATAGCTGACTTAATGCAATCTTTTTCTGATAGTGGTCAGTAGGAGAATTAAAAGATTTGGGTAACATCTCCTTTTGTGTTCAACACTGTGAATGTTGTGTTGGCTACTGTTGATCTCCCTCCCTCCCTCTCTCCCTCCCTATCTTTCTCTAAAAATCAATAAAAGTAACAATAGTTAATGGAGTTCACTATAGATAATTTAACAGAGGATTGCATATAAATTATAATCATGGCCAACTGAAATGGATCTGGGAACTCTTTCTGGGTTGTCATATCAATCACATTTATATTCAAGACCTTACAAGGCAATATTCTGAACCCTTAACTAGGCTTTTCAAAACAGCAATTAAATTTATGAAACTCTTAATAGTGAATAGATTTTAATGTTACTTTGATGTAAATTTAGCAAACATGCAATTTTCTATGTGATATACATAGTTGGGCAAAAGTAGATTTACAGTTGTGAGTATGTGAAAGTTTATTCTTGTATTATTGTTTAGTAATTATTGTATTATTTTTCATACAAACAACTATAAACCTACTTTTGCCTCACCCTGTATTTCTTTCCTTTTTTTTAAGCTTCACCCGAGGATATTTTTCCATTGATTTCTAGAGAGCGTGGAAGGAGAGAGGGGGAGAGAGAGAGAGAAATATCAATGTGAGAGAGATACATTGATTTGGGGCTGGGGAACTTGCAACCTGTAACTGAGGTATGTGCCCCTGACTTGGAATCGAACCCATGACCCTTTGGTCTGCTGGCTGATGTTCTAACCATTGAGCAACTGGCCACGGCTCCCTTTATTTCTTTTAAGCAGATATTTTAGCAGTAATCCAAGGGCTGTTTAGTCTGTTTGTGGAGTAGGAATTGCATCAGAGTGCATGTATTTTTACTATTGAATGGTATAATGCTGAGGAAGGTTCTTTTTAAGTGTGTGCTTGAGTATCTCACCCTGTGTAATGTGTACAGAAACACTGCCCTAGCCGGTTTGGCTCAGTGGATAGAGGGTGGGTCTGCGAACCAAAGGGTCTCAGGTTTGATTCTGGTCAAAGGCACGTGGGTCGTGGCTCGTGCAGGAGGCATCCAATCGAAGAGAGAGGGAAAGACAGAGACAAGTATCAAGAAATAGTAGTCACAGAGCCTGTTTCTTGATGCTTGTCTCTGTCTTTCCCTCTCTCTTCTACTCTCCCCAAAAATCAATGGAAAAATATCCTCGGGTGAGGATTAACAACAAAAACAAAATAAAGTGTACAGATACACCGACTCTTGTTTGTACTTCAAAATGATTGAATCAGTTGGTTAATCCAATCAGTCTGTATCATTTTTGTTCAAGCAGCTATTCAACACTAGACAGTTTTGTTTCACATTTATGTATATGTATCTAAATACATACATATTCACTTGTATTAGAAGGTAAAAAGTAAATGGTTTGTTTCTTCCAAAAAATAAAGCTGTGTTAGTATATTTTTGACCATGAGAAAAACATTTAAGCCCTTTGAGCTGCAGTTTCTGTATCTGAAAAATGAGGTTAATATTTGAATCTTAAAATCTTTTGTGCTTTGAATGCTTATTGATTTAAGAAGGGTTTCCAAATCTTTCTGTTTTGGTAAGTTTGGGCCTGAGAATCTGTGTTTTTAATTTCTCATGTGATTCTTGTTTGGGGCCCCTTGTCTAAAGTACAGGCTGAACAGAAAAGGGAGTAGACTGGCAAGAGGGTAGAGAAGTAGGTGAATAGGATACATGAGGAAAGGGACAACAGAAGAAGAAAGAAAGGGCTAATTGTTGCTTGACAATAATTACTGTCAGCTTGTATGCAAGAGGCCAAGCAAGTGGATATTCTCTTCCATCTGTTTAGGGGGGGGAATAATTTTTGTCACACAAATAGATTTGTTTCCTTCCCAAGAGTATCATGGGCTTAATTATTGTCATAGTTCTCAGTAACTTTAAAAGGGCTTTGGGGAAGAATGGCATAACAGAGACAGGTGTCTTATACTCCACCTGTCTGACTTTTTGTAAATACTCCTGGCTTCCTGCCTTTCTCCTGATGAGCTCTCTCTGTCTTGGAAAACTCAAATTTCACTGTCTTGTATTCAAACCCATAATTATTTGAGGGCTGAGGGAAGGTGCTAGCATGATTAAGCAATCTGCCCTCGTGCTTTCAGCTAACCTAGTTGGCTGGCCTGCCTCATCAGTCACTGCATTGATCATATTTTTTATATCAAACAATGGGACCCATAGTTTGAGCATTCGGGTGTACTGAAGGAATTGATTGCTGGGGTAGGATATTTGAATCAGAATTGTCCTGGTTAATTTGGAACATAGGGCTGAATCTTTAGCATTGTCTGTATTGCACAATTAGTATTTCTCCTATGGGACATATTGTTGTGTTCTCTCTCTCTCTCGAGCTTGAAGCTGCAAGGTCTTAGGCCTCATTGTAGTCACAGAGCCTGCAAACAATATAAATGTTTGTTGATAATATAGCATGTCACATGCCCAAGTGTAGACATCCCCTTCCTTGGACACTGGACCTGCTGTTCTCTCTGGCAAGACCACTACAGGCTGCGGCAGAGGAACTGTTATCACCTAGAACTGTTTCCAGGACAATTTGCAGGAGGGCAGGCATGTGAAGGGAAAAAATCAGTTAAGCAAAATTGAGTGTGGGTCGGGAGAGGGCTCTAAATAGTGTTTGAAGACAGATGAGAAAAGCAGATACAGTGAAGGAGTGTCAAACCTTCACTCCCTTCCTGGCCGGTGTGGCTCAGTTGGTTGAGTGTAGTCCCAATTACCAGTTAGAGTCCTGGTCAGGCCACATGCCTGAGTTTCAGGCTTGATCCCCAGTAGGGGGTGTGTAAGA